AGAGTTTACTTTTATTCTTTCCGTTGTAGAAAATGTACAGTCAACCCCTTTTTCTCGTCTCCTTACTGAGGAGATTGAAGGGAGGAAAAGAAAGAGAGAAAGGGAGTATAATCTACCAGTTGGCTTCCGTCTAAGAGCACGTTCAAAACAGAAATTGAACTGCGTATTCCTTTGTTCTTCGCTGTGGATAATTATACGTTCAATGATTTTTCCCTAATCTGGTTGCTTTTTTATTTGATTCTTCTGATTCTCCTGTCAGGTGAAGTACCTCATCATGGTGCGGGGAGTATCTTGCTCTGTAACGTAATCATCGCCCATTCCACCAACTAAATACGTGGATCGATCGTTTGCATCGTTGGATCGGACTAAGGCTTCAACCTTCATCGTGATAAGCTTAATCCCTTCACAAAAAAAGTTCTCGCCGGCCATTTCACTGTTGCAAAAAAACGAAACAGAAACAATGCCTAGTAATGAAGTCATCGATAAATCACGCGCCGGTCATTTTCGAAAATGGCGCGAAACAATAGCATTGTCTTGCGTGCAGTGTGGTCTGGTCTCTATCTCAATCTTAGGTCTGATTGCAACTGCGCTCAAGCAAAAACACTAACTATTGACCCATGGGAATTTCTAGTCCTTTTTTGGTTTTGCAAAGCCACGCCGCGGTCGCGCGCTCACGGCAAAATCTTCTTCCGCGCCTTTCGCTCTGTAGCACTCGTCAGAGATTGTCGACGACGTTAGAGTGTTCCCCACCACTTTTAAGAGGCCTGTCGAGCAAGCTAGAGCTTGAACGAGTGCCCATGCTCGGAGATCTACTGGGCTGGAAATCGCTTAACGGGACGAACTCGTATCAGTAGGACACGAATGGCCAGCAACCACGAATGGACTTGTGCAATATATTAGCTACGAACAGAAACAGAGAAAAATGGAAGCAATGGGGTCAGGCTCCTGCGTGACATCAACCACGGTTTGGGATGCTTAGGACGTCTTAAGGACCACGGCCACTGTAGCTGTCAAAACATACATATATTGCATGTCACAACGTCAGAACGTTGTTATGATCGCTTACTGATGCGCACATTCAGGAGACGACGAAGCATAAAGCCGACGTGATTGGAAGTGAAACAAAACGAAAAGATAACGTGGTTTTGCATACAGGAGATCAGATTTTTCTTGGCACATGTGTCCAAATGTGCCCCACACGGGAGGATCGGATTAATTGTGAAAAAAGACTTGTTCCATTAATCGTAAGGTGTGAAATCAGATCATGGAGAGTCGCAATATTGCTTCTGAGAGTTGAACGGAGACGATCCATGAAGATTAGCCAGGTATCCAGGTCAACAAGCCAGCACGACTAAGAAGAAGTAGAACAGTTTTATGAGAGAGTGAAAGAAGCCTCACGAATTCTGTCAACATACACAATTGTTCAAGGTGATGCATCTGTGAGCAAAAAAAAACTGAAAATTATTGTAATGAGAGTTGGGAACATCTGGATACGAAGAACGAAATGAGCGTTGTAACAGATGATTAACTTCGCAATAGCAATTAGGCTTCGCATCATCGTGTTATTCTTCATAAACTTTGAAAAAAGGTTATGGATCCAGAAAAGTCCGAACGGAGCAGTTGCAAGAAATTTTTCAGAATGTCAGTGTAATCGGTGGAAGCGTCATTGCCACAAACAGTTACCGCAGGATTTGAAGTGCCATCATAATAGCCAATGCATTGGATTCTAAAATACTTGAAAGCCGCCTAAGTTCAAAACTCATCTGCAATCCTGAAGAAGTAGACGAAGAAAAGCAAAAAAAAATCTTGAATATCAACAACAAATAACGACCGACGAACATTCTAAGCTAATCCAAACCATAAAAGAAGCTGTGGAGCAGGTAGCACACGCGTGAGAGGGCAGAACCTCCGACCAACAGAGCAAACTCTACAAGTTTTGAAAAGGAGATCTGTTTTAGAAGCATAAGGAATAAACGAAGAATACTATCGCATCCGTGAGTCAGCTAGGAATAATAATGGTGGCAGACTATGATGACTGCAGGACCCGAAAATTAAGAGAATCTGTGAAAGCGAACATGGGACTGCGAGATGTAATAAAAGAGGTCCAACCAAAGCAGAAGATGCCACTAACCCTCAGGGATGGGAGAGGAAGTCTAGAAGTGGCACGGCACGGATATGCAAAAGCTTCTTTAACAAGCTGTACAGTGCGGTTGTCCCGATACCAGAAGAGTCTTATGCAAGTCAACCGGAGGAATTCCAACTTTCCCTAACAGATGAAGTAGAAGCTGCGAAGCGAAACTGAAGAACGGAAAATTCCCTGGAAAGTATAGAATAAGAGCAGAAATGCTTAAGGCCGGCGTTAATACATCAGAAAAATCGCTTGCTTGAAGATTCACAGTATCTGCTCAGAAAGTAACTACCCCACCAAATGGAAGGACCATCGGCAATTCTTTGTTTGGAAAGGGTGACAAAGAAGAAATAAGTATTTACCGCCTGATTTCGCTGTTACCTCAGCCGCGAGTATTACTCAACAGATTGTCAAATGATATAGAAAAGAAAGAAGATTGTGAGCAAGCAGGGTTTCAAGAAAAAAAAACTATTCCACAATCGATCACACTTATGCTTTGAGGCAACTGCTTGAGAAGAATAGAGAATTTCAATTGCCGGTATATAGCCTGTTTGTGGATTTTGTAAAAGCCTGACACAGTGGAGACGAATGCAGTTATTGAATCCGTTTTTTCAAACAGGAATTAGTTTCACTTACGTCATCATCACTGTCGAAATGTAGCGAGGAACCACTGCCATCATCAAAATGTTCGGCGACGAATTCTTAGTCGACTTAAGACGAGGAGTGCGAGAAAGTGACTGTATCTCACCAAAGTTATTCTCTGTTGTAATTAATTCTGCATTTCTGAGGGAATTAATGTAGATGGAGACACGCTCACACATCTTCCAGATGCGGACAACTGTATATTAATCGCATCAGCAACAATGGAGCTGCAGAGAAAATTAGAGGAATTACAAGTAGGAGCAGCAAAGTTGGTCTGCAGATTCACCCAGAGAAAATAAAATGGATGAGAAATCGATACTGCGACAGGTAATGTTGATTTGAAGGGAGACCATATCGAAGAGGTGGAATCCTTCGTTTATCTAGGACTCCTCGTCCACAAGGATGGTGGTATGAAAAGTCAGAAATCAAAAAGAATTCGAGCAGCAATCACAAATTTCGGTGGATACAAAAGCAGCCTTATGGATAAAGACCTAGCAATCGCTCAACTCTCTTCAACACAATGATCCCACCAACCCTTACATATGCAGCACAAACCTGGGCGACAACGGAAAGCGATGAATAAATGTTAGCTGTAACACAACTGCATATGGAATGAAGGATGTACCAAATTTCTCTAAAAAACCGAACGAAAGACTCACCAACGCTGTGAGGTTGTCAAAACCGAATCGAAATCGAAAGAAGCTATCATAGGCTGGAGACATGACAAGATTCAAAGATAATAGATGGAAGGCAAAATTAACAGAGTGGTACCTTCGAGGATACAAACGCCCTATGGGTCATCTGAAGTGAGATGGTGCGATCCAATGGTACAGTTACATGGTCACCAGTGGAATCGAACAGCACAAGACAGACAAGGATGGAAAGGTTCCAATCTGCAAACGTGGAGGAATGTTTGAGGGCAAATCACGTAAATGGCAAAACTTAAGGTAATTGCTTTTTCTCGCATTCTCGAGGTCACTTAACCGGAGACCATGCACACTCCAACCACCCGTGACTGGCAATCTCTATCCTCTATCCGGCGCCTATGGGAGGGAATTTGAACAGAGTGAGCGCTATTAGTCTTAGCCTTTTGGTGTTACAAGATGAGAGAACAGAGACAGCTCGATGAAGTCGCTAAGGTTTGAAAGTATGGTGTTCGCATTTCACATGCTATGAACCCGAATCAGCTCTGAACCCGATCTGACATCATCATGTCCCCATTATTTTCCTATTGTTCTTTTGAATGGCTATTTACCATCGTCGCCGGCGGTGTGGACTGGCGGCAGTGTGCTAACAAATCTAAAAGCGGCAGTGGTTTGGCTTAAACGATTCGGGAGTTCCGAAAAGCCAGATTCCCTCTGAATTCTAACTTTCTGAGTCGTTGGGGGAGTACGAGAGGGGCTCTGCGCAGGGAACCGTCCTTCTGATACCAGTGGCAGTGGTCAATTGTCGTCGACAGCTCGATGGCGACGCCTTCAAATTGAAAGCAAAGTAAGACAAAATCTACTTTTTTCTGAACTCGCTCGAGTCTTGCTAAAAAATTCCACAGAAAATTGGAGACTTTCGAGCGGTCAGTTCTGTTAGCACCTCCTTGTAGCACTAACCTTGTGCCAACGAACGACTACCCGCCCTCCTCTCTAAATCAGCTTTTGGGGTTTTGGGGAAGAAATCTCACTTGAATCACCATAATGTCAAAATCGACATCTAATTTTTCTTCGATCCAGACTTCATGAAATTCTGTAAGAGAGGCACCGAAAACCTACCTTCGCATTGGTGATATGTTGGTAATAATGGTGATATATACTGTACTGAATAAATACACCGGAGAACTAAGATAAGTAACTGAATCGAAAAGCATCAAAGGCTCCCAAAAATTGTGGACCGACCTAATACTTTGCAAAAAAATCCTCAAGGGAGATCCTTCAGAGTGTGAAAAGTTTCTCCATAGTGGTATTTTTTGCAATTATACATTGGAAACAAAAGTGATCGTTTTCCCTAAGAGGTGGAGCAGCATGGGCGAATTAGTGAACTTTTCGTGGTGAAAAAAAAATTTAGTGCTAAACACCTGAAACTGTTGAGATTGCCCAACTCATACTCAAATAAATTTTGATATCCTTTCTCGCGTTCTTCGTTTAGCAATGATCCACTTTTTTCCAATTTTGTAAAACTATGCACACATATCGTATATATTCTGTTTTCAAATGAGCTTTACGAGCCGAGCAATATCCCATTAGGTAGTTACCTCCACAAGCATCTTTTGCATTTGTTGTTTTTTCAGTTGTTTCCGGAAAAAATCAGCTCGTTCGTTGTGATAGGTAGCATGCCTTGTACTGTGCTGCGATATGTGGGATATAATGAAATTGACGTCCGAATCATCAACACCGCCCTCTGAAGACAGGACAAAATCAATACCTCTGATTTGTGCTTGAGCAAAAATATGCAGAAAGTCGGGATAAGTGCATATCACATCTCCTCATACACTACTTAAAGTTGTGTTATTGCTGGCTATGTTGCGCGGAAACTAATTGTCTCTCTAGATTTGTCTAGATGATTTCCCTCTATATCTATGGAATACACCCATTGACGCTGACCTTCAGATCATTAGGAAGCTGCCCCCGAAGGTTTCAATCTCAGGTGAACTTATGATGTTCAGCCAATTAGATGCCCACGGACCATTTCCATCCGCGCCATTTCGTTGAATGCAGTTTCTCTAAGGCGTGGAGCATCTAATAGAATAACATGTACGAGGAACTTCTGTCTCACTCTCGAGACAGGAGGGATAGTTGGTGGCACAAAGTAGCAAAAGAGGAGGTGAAATTTCAAAAGGCGCCCCCGGTACATGAGGTTCCCATTGATTGTACCCGTCTTCGGGTATGGAAGCCTCTTACAATTTCCTAAATTTCGTTAGCATACCTCGCTCACTTCTCATATAGTAGATTACAGAATACATAGAGTAACTTGGGTTCAGCCAGAACCCACAACTCATTGCATGAAAGGCAGTGTAAGGCCTTCATGTCGTTTCCTTACAAGAGAGGTTTTTTGCAAAACAGATCCTTGCACGCTGTAGGACTCTAAGGAGAATTGCAAAGGTTTCCTTGTCGCTGGGTGGATCCTGAATACAAAAAAAGGATCGAAAAAAATTGCTTGGAGCGGGTATCTTTGGATCTGCTAAGAACCTAGAATTAAAGGTAATAAGGGGCTACTGATGGTGCTACTGATGAATATGATAGCGGTTGCTGCTAGTGCTGTTTGAAGCAAATCGGGTGCTCCGGCCTAGAATGCAAAAATTTGGCCATCATGGGAATTGAACCTGCGATCGCTTCACAACTTTTTGGCCTTCACGAGGCCGCTCAGCAAAAAAGGACCTCGGTTGTGTAGTCTACGCATGAGCTCCTAAAATATGCAGAAAACTGTTTGAAAAAAGCCCTCCACACCCTGAAAGGCCACCCTTGTAAGAGGCTGGCCAACGTTGGCTCTCCTATTCTATGTATGTAATTAACCCTCTGGTGACAATGACACCCACCTGTGGGTGCCACTATGACCGTCGCGTGGGACAATGGCACCCAAAATATTAGGAATTAATTAAATTAATTAAAAATTAAATAGGAAGAAAGGAAAGTTTAGGGTGGCACCCACCAGGTGTTTAAAACATCCTTAATATATTAGGAATTATAAGTAAGCTCCATTACGCCTATGTTTTAAATTAAAATATTTGTTATATTAAATGTTTGTTATCAGCTGATTTATATAAAACCAGCTTTGCTCCGCCCGCTATCGCGCGCATCACGCGGCAGGCTTTAGCGAAATTGGAGGGCTCATGGAATATCAGCATGTGGTACTCCATTAACCACCTCACTATTTAATGGGTTAGACCTTTCCCAGCTTCGCTGAAGTCCGTAGAAAATATGCGTGATAACGTCTGGAACTGCATTGTTGTACATATATATCTCACAACTATAAACATCCACCATTCTTCTTGAATTCAGATAATTTAGCGGTGGATAGGATTGCTGTCAGTCTCAAAATGAAAATGAAATATGCCTGTTTACATAAGTGATTAGCTGAGGTTTATCATTTATTTACATTTACCATTATTTAGAACCCTGAAAGGATTAGCGGTCTGATAAATCTGGGCTTTCGTGATAGAAATGAAACTTATCATTTGCTGAAGAGTTGATTGTATTTATGCAATCAACTGCTATTAAGTAAGCTGGTCACACAATGATACAATGTGCACGTACCACTGCAAAGAGAATTTGTAAGTTGGGACGCTCTAGTATCAGCGCAAGCTACGCAAGTCGCGTTCTGACGCGCCTTATCAGCCTTTATCGTGGTATGTATCGTGATATCGATCGTTACAACCATTTTCCATCACCAACCATCAATGTCCCCGTCCCATCCACATAACGCTTGTAGGTATGGATACACTGGTGTCAATGTAAGCTAAGTAATGGAATCGACGACTTTAACGTTCTGAGGCGTTTTATCAGCCTTTATCAGTTGCTATCACTTCCAATCACCCAGCAACAATGTCCCCGTCCCATCCCACATAACACTTGTAAGTGTGGATGCTCTGGTACCAACGCGAGCTGGGTAACGAAATCGACGACTTGTGCGTTCTAACGCATCTTATCAGCCCTTATCAATTGCTATCGCTTTCATTCATGTACCGCCAATGTCCCGGGACCACCCCACACAACACTTGTAAGTATAAACACCCTCCAATATGAACGACAAAACCAAATTGACGATGCTCGCTTTCTAGCCCCTCTTATCAGCCATTATCAGTTGTTATCATTTCGAATCACATACCACTTGTGTCTCCATTCCACCCCCTATAACATATGTAAGAACCATGGCGCTATCATTGCAGCGAAGCGCCCTATGAATTTCGTGACGAACAGACGCACACACCCACACATACACAGACATACTTAGCGAATTATATATAGTAGGTTTTAGGATGTGGCACTTCGCTTAGCAATGCATTAACTAGTGTTTTACATTATTAAACTTAATTTATTTCAGATCAGGACCTCGTCTTTTCAGAGTGTCAAGGCACAACGAGGAGTACGAACTATACAAAAATTCTACTATACATTTGAACTTCTAGAGTTTTCAAACATCATCCCTTTGAAATCCGTAATTTCTTTCCGAACCCCCACTTCTAATTTCAACAAACATGATCAGAAAGCTTAAGACTGCAGTCTTATTTTGTTTATTGTCATAAGCAAAGTTTTGATCGAAAAGCTGTTTTTAGGGACAATTTTGTCCCATTTGTGCGAGAGTTGGGCGCGCCAAAAAGAGGCGTGGTCCCACGAGCACGCTACGTGCAAATCCGCGTTGTCGTCAAAGGGTTAACGCAAAGTCGATGGGTCCAATCACGATGTCGTACCCCTCAGCACTGCCGTCAAGTCTGTTAGCGTCCTTTTTTGATCATGAGGAGAATACTTGAATATCCGGATATCATCCATATTCTTTCGGAAGTGACAGCGCCTGCAAATTATTTGAGTTACTGTAGTGACTGGAAGTTGTTGAAAGACGAGGTACTGACCAGTTCTGTGGTCCAAGATGCCATAAGAGATACGATCTCGCAGAAAGATCGCCGGCAGCGAACCTTCGGGCCTGATTGATTGTCGTGAGGAGCGCACAGCGTATGTCATCAATGCAACCTTCACATGTACTGTTTACAGTATTGTTCCTGCAAAAGTAGAAGGTCCTCCGACAAGCCATTTTGAGGCAAATCCTAGTCACTAACGGTGTACACATGAACATGAACCCGCTGAGAAAGCGTTCCTGTGGTTCGCGAACCATGGCAAAGTTCACCCATTTCTCGCCATGAGACAACTTCTTCACCTGGTCGAACGAGTGCAGACCGTTCTTGTAGTAGCACGATCTATGCATAAAAGTTCCAAGGAGAAAGTTGAAGGCAACAACAATACAGCTATTGTCAAAATACCTTTTGTGGTCATTCGTAATGGTGATGTTGTCCTTGTTGTTCCTGAATTCTTTGCTGAAGAGCCAGCACAGAATAGCTGAAATCACCGTCGACATGTTTTTGGGTATCGGGCAGTATGTGATATGCTGAGGACGTTTGGTGATCTGAAAAAAGGGAAAATAGAAGCAATTTAATGCGAATAAGGTAGTTCCTTCCGTGTTTGGAGAAAACGCTGGCTACAGGAGCTGATTGTCACTCGCCGACATTCTGAGACTGATCTTTAGAATAAGTCTTGCCCGCAAAATGCAGATTTTCCATTCCGCGGTGTATAATTTGACAAATTAGCCAACAACCGTAAACTAGCACGCTGATGATCTAAGAAACATTCCCTTCCACAGATTCAGTATTTTCACATTTTGTGCGAGAGTTTCGCCTTTTTCTCATTTTTTACTGGCTGAAAACTTTTCCACATTTTTCGACATCCCCAGTCAGTGACAAAAGAGATTACCTTTTTTAACCTGGATGCTTCTTTTCCAAGCAACTGAATAAATAAGAATGAGCAATCAAAATTAAATATTACTAAGGCAGGTCAGGTTTAATAGTTTTCTAACCAGGACTGTCACTCGTTTTAACAAATTATTTCGTCAAGATACGCTAACTTTGTCTCTCAATCAATTCAAAAGGCTGGCCTCTTAAGTTTGGCGCAATTCCACTTGTCTTTGTTCTGTTCTTTCTTTCAGGGGTCTCTTGATTTTCATCTTCCTTGAGTTGTATTGATTACGCCTTTCTGCATTTGGTGTTGATTTTGTGTTTTGATTTTTTTTGTTGTTTCGTTTAGCACAGATATTATGCCATTTACTTTGTCTTCTTGGTTTATTATGTCTCGACTGTCCTACTCTACGTAGACTTGTCTACGTCTCAATAAATAAATAAATAAATAAGGCGATTTCATCGTTAATTAATCTGGTAGTAGTGGTGCCTTAAGGAGTGGCCGTTGGAGCTAATTATGCGTAGTAAGATCGGTGGATTCAAACGATCTTGGGTTAGACGCAGCTTTGTTAATTGCCTTGAGTCATTTCACCTAACGCATCAGGAATTCATTATCGTGCCATCATTATTGGCAGTTTATGAGCAGGAGCAAGTGTGGGCAAAAATGGTTTGGCAAGCATGAGCAGTACCTTCTCTTTGAGAATCATGAATTTAAAATTTAAAATCAATTATTTGTTCTTTGACAATCCAGAAAGAACATGGATTTATTTTTGGACGTTTAACACCAAAAATAAACTCAAGTTCTTTTCGGATTATCTTGGATCCTTAACCTCCTGCATTCAAAAAGACTGAAAGTCTTAACAGATCAGTATTCGAAGAGAAGTGATTGGTTCGGAGAAATATGCACAAAATTCCATTTCTGTGAAAATGCACTTTTGACAGTTACATGTCATAAAAACAGTGATAGAGGAGTGGTGGTTAACCTTCTTTTGAAGCCGAACGCGCCGACCGCTCTCTGATTATATCAGCAGTATGTACATTGGGAACTATCTTTAGCGCCTACATCTCTTTCACTGATGAGAATAATTGCCCATTAACTTAAAACCTATGGCTTGAACAGTTTTTATATGCATATTATAGGGGCACATGTCTTTAGGGGAAAAACTCGGACCGAGCGAGATAAACACTGAAGAAGAGAAGAAGATTATAAGGATAAACTTCGAACCATCATAGATTTCGTTTCAAAAATTACAAATGAAAATGATGAAACATACCACTCATCCATAGCAGACATTGTCAAAAGCTCTCTTTCTCCAGACGGAAAAGTCTCTTTCTGTTACAAACCATAGCCACACTCATCTGTCTATGGAACGACCAGGTTCAATAAGTGGGATTATCATCACATACAAACAGTTACTTATTGGGATTAGACTCGAGTGCATGGCTCAGTCCAGGATGGAGCTCTTCCGAAACTTCCTTCTGATAGAACTCAACAAGCTGAGCTCAACGTTATCTTCAGATTTTAAGAAACGATATCCAACAAAAAAAACGAAAAAAGGCAATTTCGTGCTTCTGACGCGGACTTTTGGAGTTTTTCGGCGAGTACCGTACTTTGTGTTCACGAGAAGGTGTAGTGTGACAGTCGATCCATCCCGTTTTAAAGTCGAGCATAAATTGAGGCAAAGCTTGTGAAAACCGATACTCACGAAGTACGATGGGTAGTAGGTCACAAATGGATCTATTATGCTGGTAAATTTGCCTGCACCATAGTTTTGATGAAAAAGCTTGGAAGCAGTGAAAGCCGTGCTGCTATCGTGAGTCGTTGCGTACCTGGAAATAGAAAATTCTCAGAAAAAGGAAGTAGAAAACTAGTAGGAGGGTAAGTTGGTAAAGTACGGAAACACCCACGAGTCTATTGCCACCACAGCTCATAAAATTCGCCACAATCCACACAAAGGGGTACCCGACAGGAGGCCCATCGCGCGGCGAGAGTCATCGCGGAGACGCAGACGGGTCAAGGGACGAGTTGCAGTGCGTGGTATTGATGTGGGACGTACTGTAACACATTCAGTTTACCTAGACACGGAATTATCGCAGTACGCGATGCGACTCGGCCACAGACCCGTCTGCGTTTTTGCCTTCGAGCCGCGCGACGGGCCTCCTGTCGGGTACCCCAAACAAAGTGTTTCGGTTTCAGTTAAGTTCCGGTTTCTCGAAACCTACTCACTTCATGAGTAGAATGTGCTAATTTTTATAGCTCCTGCAATTTACCGAACCTGCTGAATTCATCTCTCTTTGGCCTGCGTTCACGGGCTTCAGCTTTCTCCCCAGCGTACCTTAGAGGAGGAATTTACGATAAGAATGAAGGTCGAAGAAGGAGTAATTCACCTAGGTGAGACTGGGGCGCGGACTGACGCGTGAACGGCACCGAAAGATTTTACCTCGGCGACCTAACACGGCTCACTCTGTCGCGGTTGGCGGGGTAATCCCACCGACTATCTAATCACTTGCAGGTCTATACACGGCGAGCGATTAGATGGTAGAGAGAGCGTGTGTTGAAGAGGGCACAGCGATGAGAGTACGCATCGATGCGCAAATCAGCGGGCAAAAAAGGGGTTCTATATTATCTCGGGTCCATTTCAAATGGTTTCTTCTTCATCCCTGCTCCACTGACCATCTCTACTCTTATTTCCGAGGAGCAACTTTTCGTTGTAAATTCTGCCTTCAACTTGCCAAATATTGAACTATTTCAGGCGATATGAGCTATTGAATCATATGCTCCCTCATGGAAAATACTCTTCCTTCATTTTGTTATCAATTCCTTGATAAAATCGTGTGCAGCAAATACGTGCGTGGACCTGCATCGTATCATTATCATCATTATTTTATCATAGAAAATGCCCGCACTTTTCTACCACAACTGATGGCCGGATTCAATGAAGAAAAATAAAAAGAAGGGAAAGTTCAAATGGGATTGGAAATGTTTGAATATTTCATTCAGTACGATTACTTGTCACGGTTGCGATCGAATCGGTTCATCAAGTAAAAAATTTTTTGCCTAACCATGAGGGCTTCTCTTTTAGGCACGTATTTGTGAACCAATATTTAAAGTCATAGTGCATCCCATGACTAAGCAATGTTATTCGAAAAATTGCCACTCACTTGATGACGAATTCCTGTAGTTGAGAGCGTCTTCGCATTGTTTCCAAGTCATATGAATCTTGCAGTCGGATATATATCACGTATGCTATGACTCCATACAGCGCAAAGTTGCAGTTTGAGGATTGTTGGAATACTCTATGTAACATGCCTGGAATCGTCATCACATTGCGGCTTATGCAGAGGTACTGAATGTTCCATGAGTTCAAATAGCATTCGTTTCATTGAACCCGTTTCAATTTTAATTATTCAGCAGCATACGTATTTTTTCTTGATGGTTGCTGACGTTTGCGTTCCCAGCGTGGTCAAATTTGGCGACGTGGGTTCATATTTTTGAAAGACGTAGAAGAATTGGCGCTATCGTAAGGGCAGGTGGCAGTGCACTTAAATACATCTCCTCTTTGCCAAAACGGGCGAGCCTCAGGGGGGGGGAGGTAGGGGGAGGGGCAGTCTCCAAAATGCATGAGCAATTTTTATTCGCCGTCGGAATTTCTGTCCGTACTAGGCCTGGACCTAGAAGATATCCTGCGATAGCATCGAGGAATTTTTTGGGAAGGTGAGTTTTATTGAGCAAAATTGAGAAATTCAGGGAACTTATTCATTAAAACGGCTACGTATACCAACCTCTGCTAGAGTCACCTTCGTGCAACGTTTCCCGTGATGTCAGGATCAGTTCCTACGGAAACCGATGTGGTGATTCGGGGTAGCAGGAGGAGGTGGGGAGAGAACAAGATCTCATAAGGACCCATCTAGCACCACTTCGTATCAAGCAATGTCTTTTAATAATGGGTAGGATTATACATTCGAAATCTTTGAAGACTGAAAGCATATCAAAATAATTGGCCGTTCATGCGCTGCTACGAGATTGCTTCTCAACATTCGTTTTGAAACCTGACAGTATTTCCAAACATTTGAAATAACTTTAACTTCATTATTTTCCACCAGACATCAACCGGTCTGAAGTGCATGTGGACGACAGTTACTGCGGTCTACAGCAACTTCAATTTGTAGGCATTTGCCTTTGATCAATCTTTTTAGGGAGGCGGTACGCATTCTACTTTCATTTGTGCATTCGTAGTGGCGTTTGAATGCGATGTGGAAAATACAATGACTTGCGAGGGCCAGCCAATGTACAAGTCCGTGTTTCTATCTTCCCAGACACCCCGACAATTGGTAAAACCGACTAAACCGACCCGCGTAGATGAAGGCTCTGTGGCTAGGACAAAGTACGACCACAGGATTCTCTGAGTTGGTAGACCTTTGAACACGCGGGCCACACTAAAAACACGTCAATAACGTTCGACACACGCTTGACATCCACTGGATTGCTATAACCAAACACATATATAACAAGCCATGACAATATTCATATGAACTATCCAGAACTGCAACTTTTGACCAATTAATAAAACAGGTTTTGGTAAATACTGTCAGTAAATTTTCTTCAATTTTTTGAGTCAAGTGCAGACGTTTCTCGCATCAGCACCTAGACAAGCCAATCGATGAACGTCGTAAATAAATAAATAAATAAATAAATAAACCGAGCCAAACTTTTGATAGCGAACGTTTGTGCGTGCTTGAGATAACAGCAAAAGAACCTAAATTGCTTCTAACACAGAAAAATGTCCGATCGAGTAATTTTAAATTCGTCAGAGTCCCTAAGTTAATGAACCACACGTCAATACTCCAATAACTGAAAGTAGTTATAATCTTTGTATGTGAACACAGCGAAAAATGGGCGCATTACCCAGAGTAACATCTTCAACAGTGAATAACCGGGAATTGTGTGAAAAATCCCTGTACTTTTGAAAAATTTTACAAAAAGAAGACTAACAGCCCAGACCGCTGTGCTAGCATCTAGAAAATGCTGAGTTATGGCAAAAACTCGCAGCGGGTCCAGAGTCCACCCCCTCTCAGTCCTGCGCCTTTATTCCATTCACCTGCACCCTTCCCCACTCAACCGACCCAGGTGCTCTCATCAAACATAATGGAAAAATGTGATTCCTCACCAGACAACATCCCAAATTGCTGAGATGTAAAAAAGATATGTCGGACACCACACACCGCGTTGAGCTCTTCAAGACCAGTCTCTAGCCTCTTGATATAGCGGGCAGCATGAATTGACGATCGAGCGGGCGTGCGGACACCGATTAACCTTTCAAAGTCAACCACGCACCCGTCGCACGACCCTTCTCCAATTCTTCCAATCGTCGGGCCTGATGAACATTCCGCGGAGTTTGTTCCACGTGAATTATCAACGCGCCTTGTTTAACCAGGTATCTTTTCTGCCCACTGCCCACTGCGTATGCTTCCCATCCTGTGAGCTATTATTGTGACCCGGACTTCCTGCGAGGCCAATTTACAATGAGAAAGTGAACTAAATGAAATAAGGAGATGCGTTTCAGTTAGATAGCAGGATGATAAGAAAAACCTCTTAAACGCCCCAAAAACCTCGAGAATGAGACCCACTTCCCTGCCCCGTTGATTTCCCAGACATTGAATCGCGCTTGCATTGTTGGACCCTAAGTCTCACAGCGCGCTATCTGCT